ATTAGAATATTATATGATTACTAGTTGAAGCCTGGCGCATACGCCACGATATGCGACATAAAATAAACTGCTTTTTATTTTTTGTTTATTTAAATGAAAAACAAATGAAAAACAAAAAATCCGGCGACGACAGTTTTTAGAAGAGCCAATTAGCTATTCTTTTAGTAAAAAAAGCAACTTTCTAGAGCAAGTCGTTACTTCAGCAGAGACGACACAGATAAACATTAGCATTTTATATATGTATAGATTGTCCTCCCGAATTCCAATATGGGATTTTTGAGAATCAAGCTGAAACATTTCATGCTTGTCTCTTGTAGATAAGGGCCAAAGAAATAAACAAACGCTTATCGCAGTTTGAAATAAAGAATAAATTAAAATATGCAGTTTCTTTAGCTCAGGCTCATAGACGGGCAACATTGTTATTGTCCTATGAGTAAAGGGTTATTTGAATAAAATATTAAAAAGTTTTTTTATGGACAGACCCATTGCGAGCCTTCTTTTTTGGGAATGAACTGTCACATTAAATCTGCTCAAGAATTAAAAAAGGTCAGCGCAGAGATAAAACCAGATCTCATCCAAGCATAAGTTCAGGTTTGAGGGTATCGAAAAAACTATTAAACCTCAGATTTTTTAGTCAAGCGGTTCAAATTCAGTCATCGGAAAAAGTCGGAGGGGAGCAGGAGGGACCAGAAGCTGAGGAACAGTTGGAAGAGAATGGATTTCAGGAAGTAGTCGAGGTAAATAATATTGGTTATCTATAGTTACCTTTATAGTAATTGGCAAAATATTACAAAAAATCTGTTTAATACTTATTTGTTATTTTGTATTATTAATTATTATCATATTATATTAAGTATCGATTTGTATTTTTACATAAATGTAACTCAGCTCTATTTTTCTTGCCCCGCTCTAGTAAAATATATGTCATAGTTGTCATTGAAAAACCTTGAGCAAGAAGGTGACGCTCAGCATTGTTTTGTAACAAAATACTTGTAATCATACAATAAAAAACTTAAAAAAACGTCAACAGACATAGCTTTATTCAAGAAGTGCTATCAGTTATCATTGGTCCTTCTCGAGCCGGATGAAGTAAGTCCTGAAAATCACAGAAAAAGACAGTATAACCTAGAAGTCAGACAAGGCCTACAAAGTTAGAAGCCTACCCTATCATTCAGAAGTTTATCCTATATACAATAGAGGCTTGAACCTGAGAAGAAGCTAATCGTAAGTCCATCCTATTATCCTATCCTAGCTTAGCTTATCTAATCCTAATTCTATTTGTATCATTTTAAATCATCAAAATTTATATATATTGCTGACTTAACTAGAGCGAGAGCAAATTTAAAAGGTAGTCTAACTCGATTAATTAACTTTTATCAAAAAATCAAAAGTGATCCTATTGACGAATATAAATTTAATCAAATTAATGACAGGCTAAGTAATGCCACGGATTTATTAGATAATTTTAATCGCATTCAAGATGAAATTGATGCTTATTCTTTTAAAAATGTGTCTTCAGATGTTGATGTACCATCTTATGAGGAAGGCATATTAACAAAAAGTTTATCTGAGCGTGAAGCATTTGAAGATAAGTATTATGATATAATTTCTCTTGTTAAATCTTATTTAAACAGCTATAATCCCTCCCAAGAGTTAAATCAAGCTATTAGTAATGCACCTTTGGTTCAGGATACACAATTTAATATCAAGCTTCCTAATTTAAATTTACCAATAGTCACAGGAAAATACAATGAATGGGTTAATTTTAATGACACATTTAAATCTTTAATTGACTCTAATCCTGCCTTCAAAAAAATTCAAAAATTTTACTACTTAAAATCTTGTTTGAAACATGAAGCATCAGACATCATAGAGTCTTTAGAAGTTACTATTTTAAATTATCCTATAGCTTGGCAAATTTTACGTGACAGGTTTGAAAACAAGAAAATTATCATAAATAATCACATTAAACAAATTGTTGACTTACCCCCTATACGCAATGGATCTCATTTCGAGTTAAGAAATCTTTCGGATACAGTTAATAAAAACATACGTTGTTTAAAAGCTTTGGGACAAGGTGTGGATCATTGGGATTCCTTGTTAATATATATTGTAAGTCAGAAATTCGATTCACACACTAAAACAGAATGGGAACAATACCAAGCTCAAGACACTCTTCCAACATACGAAAATTTAATAGCTTTTTTGAAAAATCGCTGCAGTATCTTAGAATCTTTGAGCATAACTACTCCAGATAGAGATCCGTACTCTATAACTAAAATAGCTAAAGGGGTTCAGAAACCAATTAAAAATACAGCTCAAAGCAATTCTTACTTTTCATCCACCAACTTCAAATGTATCTTTTGTCAGAATTCCCATAATATTTATAATTGCCCTGATTATTTAAAACTCTCAATTCAAGAGAGAATAAATGAGGCTCATAAACATAAATTTTGCTTAAATTGCTTACGAACTAACCATTTAGTTAAAGATTGTCGATCTACAGGTTGTAGAAAATGCAATCGCAAACATCATACCTTGCTTCATATTGAAAGACTCAACAAGATTTCATCCTCTGAACCTCCTATAAATTCTTCAAATCCCAGCACATCTGAGGTTAGTAATCTTGAAACATCATCTGCATTATCCTCATATCATACATCTAAAAACACCAACTTAAAACAAGTTCTTCTAGCTACTGCTTTGGTTGAGGTTCCTGACGTGAACGGTGTTTTTCATACCTTTAGAGTCCTGTTAGACGCTGGTTCCCAATCAAATTTCGTGACTGAACAACTTTGTCATAAATTAAGGGTACCTTTATATGAATCAAAAACCATGATAATGGGCTTAAGCAGTCAGGCATCTCCCATAAAGTTTAAAACTGATATAACTATTCGATCCATCCATAATAGTTTTAAAACTAATTTATCTTGTTTAGTTTTGAAATCTATAACTGAACCCTTGCCCATCGTTTCTTTTGACTACTCTCATCTAAATATCCCTAGTCACATCAGATTGGCAGATCCTACTTTTAATAAAATTGGAAATATCGACATCTTGCTTGGAGCTACCATCTTTTGGAATCTGTTGTGCATTGGACAATTATCGTTAGGTTTAAATTGTCCATCACTGCAGAAAACTCATTTGGGTTGGGTAATAACTGGAAATTGTAATAATATCCCTAAAAACTACCTACAAAAAAATGTTTCCAAAACATTAAGCTATTTCAATCTGGAATCCTCGCGTTTGGAAAAACAGGTAGCAAGATTCTGGGAGCAAGAGGAGATCGCTTCTTGCGATAGATTTACGCCTGAAGAACAGCTGGTTGAAACTCATTTGCAAAGCACTACAACCAGAGATTCAAGTGGCAAGTTTATTGTTAAAATACCTTTTCGAGAAAATCTCTCTAATCTTGGCGATTCTAGTACTACGGCATTAAAAAGATTTAATAGCGTGGAAAGAAAACTTGTTAGAAATCCTGAACTTGCGGTAGATTATAAAAAATTTATACTGGAATATGAAAATCTTGGCCACATGCAAAAAATATCTTCAGACATAAATAATGAAGCAAATTCATTCTATCTTCCGCACCATTGTGTTATCAAAACATCAAGTGCCACAACTAAACTGCGTGTTGTATTTGATGGATCAAGTAAAAGTGATTCTGGACTCTCGCTAAATGATGTTCAATACACAGGTCCAAATATACAGGATGATCTTTTTTCTATCATTTTAAGATTCAGACAGCACACTTATGTGATTGCTGCAGATATTGAAAAAATGTATAGGCAGATTTTATTGCACCAGGATGACAAAAAATATCATAGAATCTTTTGGAGAAATGACCCAAGTGATGAGATATCTTGTTTTGAACTAAATACCGTAACTACGGCACTGGGTCGGCCTCATATTTAGCGACAAGGTGCCTGAAGCAATTGTCCATTGACTATCAAGCTACAAATCCTTTAGCTAGTAATGCTATTGAACACGATTTTTATGTTGACGACTTGCTAACCGGACACGACTCTCTTTCCACTCTTCAATCGCTTAAAGACGATATAACTTCAATCCTAAGTAGTGTTGGATTTAATTTAAGAAAATGGACAACTAATACTCGTTGTCTTCTATCAAAAGATGATTTAGAAAATAATCATGACATATTTCTTGACAAAGAATCTACGAATAACAAAACTTTAGGCATTGTTTGGGATTCTAATTCAGATATTCTTAAATATTCTATCCAACACTTAGATAACAACTTAACTGTAACCATTTACACCACTGTTACATTTTATTAACGATCTTCATGAATTAAACTTGCTAAGAATACCTCGTCATGTTATTTTACCTAATTACGATTTTATTGAGATACATGGTTTTGCCGACGCGTCCGAAAGAGCTTATGGTGCTTGTATTTATGTCCGCTCAGTAAAGTCTGATCAGATACAAGTGAGACTCCTTTGCGCAAAATCTCGTGTTGCTCCAATAAAATTCTTATCTCTACCTCGTTTAGAGTTAAGCGCAGCTCTTTTGTTAGCACAACTACTGCACAAAACAACCGATATCTCAAAAGAAATGCAATGTTTAAATAAAAATATCGGTCTAGATAAAAATAGTAAAATTCTTTCTTTAAAACCCTTTATTGACGATAATGGTCTATTGCGTGTACGAGGTAGACTTATTATGCCCCACATAATATTAATTAGGTTGAAACCTTCATAATTACATCGAAACCGAAAAACATGAAACATGCCTATCGGTATACTTATGTAAAATTAAGAAAGAAACAAACTTTTAAATAAAGTTTTTCAAAATTCGATCGTTTTTTTAGCCCTATATTTTTGAAGTACCAAAACAGATACGCGATAGCAACAACGTAAATTTTATTATCATTTTTAATCTATTTCAAAGCAAAAACTAACGCCAAAGTCAAATTTGACCTAAATCAATGAATTAAAAAAATCTTATACCATGCGGACTTTATCTGACAAAAAAATTACCTGGAATCAATATGCTTATTCCTAAGGTGGTATTTTAAACTTTGTGTTGTGCTATATTTGTTGTCACACTGTGTACAAGGAAACAGCTGCCGTTCTTCCCGTGTCAAGTGAATGTTCTTGTGTCTGAAGAATCTTGACGAATGTGGCGTTTGATAGCCACAAATGGCACATTTGTGGACCTTTTTCTGAACTTTTTTCGATCTAACAAAATAATATTTAAATATTAGTCTCGTAACTCCATAAAATAGGGTTCCTCAAACATATAACGTTGCGTATCAACTTATGTTATAATTAAGAAATGACTGTAAATGTATGCGCCCACTAGGCGGGTCGCAACGTTACGCAATAATTGGATACCCTAGATTTTAATGCAGCTAGGTTGACACGGGTAGTGAAGCACGATCGTGTCTCACACTTTCGTCAGCCACGAAAGTACCAAAATGCCATTCGTGAAAAACGAAAATCGTCCAGCGATCGTAGGCTGTTTACACGGCAAACGTGCTAGTCTTTTATGAAGTTCTTTTCGTGGAGGGTTGTACACTAATATGCCAAATATTACGACATTAAAAGACGAGTGAAAATAATTAATTGTGACATTCATGTAAATATCTCTTCACAGAGTTGCCAATATTTACTATTTTACGTCTTTTCATCAGACATTTCTAACTTACTTGCGAGTCATTACTGTATATAAAAACTAAATTTATATTTATTTTAATTATGTTTTTGTTATGCAAATGAAGTTAATTTTTATAATCATATACTAAAATATATTTAAGAAAAATGTAACAATTAAACATTCGAACTTTTTTTTGCAACAAAGATTATAATCGGAAGTCAATCAATATTTTCTGATGCGAGAATAGTGCAAAATCTGCCTTTTTTACCTCAACTTCCTCTGCTATTTCTTATTCACGATCGATTTGGTTCGTGAAATATCTAACATGTTTGATTTGCTTATTCACGATCGTGGCGCCTTTCGTATTGATTCGTTTCTATTCTTCTTTCACGAATCTACTGTTGACATGAGGCGTGGTCCACGAAAGTGTGGGCCACGATCATGCTTCACTACCCGTGCCAACGTAGCTTTAAAGCTGTGTCCACTAGCAACGGAGTCGAGCAGAACGCACCGCGACGGGTTTTTGAATTGATCACTAGGTCTTTGGCTATTATCTCGTAGATTTCATATTTCTTCCTATACAGGGTTATTCACCTCGTTCGACATGAAGTATTATCGATTAGATTTATAGAAATTGTGTAATGGGATCGTTGGAGGAATACTAAAGCTACAATTTAAAATTATTTAAAATAATTTTATTTTATTCATTCTTTTCTGCGGAGAGTCTTCTACGACTTCAAAAGATTATGGAAAGTCATGGCAAATATTATTCCAGTGGCTCCCCAAATAAGAGTACAAATTTTTAATTAAATTGACGCGAACAGAAGATCAAGCACCCTCTGAAAAATTAAGCGATAGCAAGCTTGGTATATTCCTTATTAATATTCAGTCCTTAAAACAAATGAATTATATCTTTTACTAGAAGAACTTGAATTTCCAGATATCATTGCCATAACTGAGCACTGGTTAAATTTTGATGAGCCTGTGTTTGTTAAAAAAAATATACCACAGTAGCCAGATTTAATAGAACAAATTTATCTCATGGAGGTACTATGATAATGTCTTTAAACAAAGACTTTTCCGATGTAACTAGGTACAATGATTTGTTATCTGAAAAAGTATTCGAATTTACAAAAGTATTCGAATACAAATAATGTAAAGGTCATTAGCATTATGGTGGACAATGGAAATTGTCCACCATAATGCTAATGACCTTTACATTATTTGTATTTATAGAACACCTGACTCTGACGTGCAATTATTCTGTCATAATCTACTAAGCTTGCTTGAGTCCCTGCCCTTAAAAAGCAAATTAATTTTGTGTGGTGATCTTAATATTGATTTTCTTAGTGTATGTGCTGCTCAGGAGTTTCTTCAGTCCATTTTTGATTCTTTTGGAATAGCCATGCATGTAAGACTCACCTACCAGAATATCCAAAACCAGTTCTAGTACTACAGACTATGTTGTGTCATATTTTGATCCTAACTCCATCGCCTGCAACGTCTTTAGCTCGGGTCTCTCTGATCATGAAGCAGCTTTAACTAAATTTTCGATAAATTCCAAAATCAAAAATGCCCCTCCTAAATTATGCCGTATTTTTTCAGAAAAGAATGCTCAAAAATTCAGCCACTTATGTAAAACAACCAACTGGGATGCTCGCTCTTATGATGTCGACACCGAATTTTCTATTTTCATAAAAACATTAACCAGTCTAGCGTTCAAATCCTTTCCTCTTAGGCCTATCAAAAATAAGCATAATAAACCTTGGGCCACTAAAGGTCTACGCATATCTTCTAAAAGCATGCGTTCATTATCTCACGTAAAAAAATTCTCAGACTGTGTCTTCTTCCACAATTACGTAAAACTATACAGAAAAATTTATCATAAGACTATAAGAGCCGCTAAGGACCTTTATTATAATAGGAGAATGGCCAATTCTGGTAATGTTGCTAAAGAAACATGGTCTATTGTGAATGATTTGAGAAACAAAGCTTCTTCGTCTAGCAATATCTCTACCTCACCTGAGAACCTTAACGATTACTTTGTAAATGTAGCGAAAAATTTAACTAATACCATATCTCCTTCTCATGATCCACTTTCATATCTCTCTAATGATAATGTAAACTTACACAGTTTCTTTTTTTCGACCGTAGTTTTAGAAGAGCGTCGCAGTACAATTAATACCATCAAAAATAAATCCTCATCTGGGACCGACGGGTTAACTTTAAAAATGTTTTCGAATCTACCAGAAAGCACTCTGAATCACCTAACTACCTTAATAAACATGTCATTCCAAAATGGTATTTTTCCAAAATGTCTTAAGACGGCAATAATCATTCCTCTGCATAGAGGAGGAGACAAAGATAAAGCTTCTAACTATCGCCCAATTGCACTCCTTCCAACGCTATCTAAGATCATAGAAGGGTGGGTTAAAAGAAGGCTGGTATCTTTCCTATTTAAGTACAAAATACTTACTGAACATCAATTTGGATTTCTAAGCAACAGTCCACAAATGACGTTTTCCCTCCTTAAAAAATTTTACTCATCTTTACAGCCTAAATAACCATCATTCTACAGCAACAATTTTCTGTGATTTTTCTAAGACGCTCGACTGTGTAAATCATAAGATCCTAATTAATAAACTACAGCGTTCAGGGGTTCCCTACATGGGTTCAGGGAAACATCTCTCGAATGGTTTAAGTCGTATCTGAGCAACAGAAGTCAACTTGTGAGGGTGGATACCACGTTGTCTTCTAGCAAGCCAATAGAATGTGGAGTACCACAAGGCTCAGTACTAGACCCTATTTTGTTTCTTCTTTTTATTAACGACATTACTAACATAAACATCATTGGTAAAATATGTCTTTTTGCGGACGACACTAGCTTCACTTGGAGCAACAAGGACGTCACGGCACTTCATAGGATTATATCAAATGACTTAGTCACCATTAAATCTTGGTGCGATTCGAGTCTCCTGAGTCTCAACATTTCTAAAACTAAAGCTTTGTCGTATAAAAACTCGCTGCAGGCTTTTGTACATAACAACACCACCATTGACGTCGTAAAATATGTGAAATTCTTAGGGCTTGTTGTAGACAATTCTCTGAAATGAGACATGCATATCGACGCTTTGTCGAAAAAAATAAGTTCTGCCTGTTTTGCATTAAGATCTGTTTCTAGGAGCTTAACTTGTCAGTGACTAGAACTGTTTATTATGCACTTTTTGAGTCGCACCTCAGATATGCCCTTCCATTCTGGGATACGTGTTGTGCGACTCAATTTGACCGCATTTTCAAGCTCCAGAAGAGAGCTATGCGATATTCACTGGGACTAAACAGCAGAACTCATTGCCAGGACTTTTTAATAAATTAAAAATATTAACTCTTCCTTCCTTATTTATATTTGAATCCGTCATATACAAACTAAAATATATAGGAAACTGAAATGATGCCGTCTGTTGGAGAATTCAGTGGCGCCATGCATCGGGTCGTTACACAACTTATGATACAATTTTATTTTATTTTACAGGAACCTTTACATTTTAACTACAGGTAACTTTAATTGTTTTGTCCACTCTAGCGCCATCTATTATCAATTTTTTAGAACGTAATTTATTTTTTTTTGTACAAAAATAGATGATTTTTCTTCTATTTCCTATTTTCTAATAAGAATAAGTTACTCTAAATGCGACATCGCTCCATTATATCGTATTGTTCTCAAACAGATGACGTTTCATTTAGAATTAACTTATCCTCATCAAAAAATATGAAATAGATAGAAAAAACAGCTATAGTTAATAAAATAAAAACAATTAACTGGATATGTTTAATAATAATTAATTATTAGTAATAACTTTATTAAAAAAAGTAAATACAAATTATACAATAAATAAAATTTCTTCTTCAGACGAAGGCTCGCACGGCACTGCTATACACTTAACTTGTTCATATAAATACAATAATAATAATAAATCAATACAATAGCATTAAATAATATAAAATACAACTAAAAAAGTTTTGTCGCGAACTTATTCGAAGCGCGGCGAGAAAACGTGAATTGGATCAATGGTCTCTATGTATAAATTGATAAAAATACAGACCCACGGATTAAAGCGAAGTAACGCGAAGAATCAAATACATGCAATAAATCCAATATCATTTTGGCCGCGCCGGCGCTTCGCAAAAGTTTAAAGCATGATGCGCACTTGAGCGAAGCGCGCCGAAGCCGAAGCCATATGCTATATGCGAAGCACTGTTTTTCGCACGCGATGGATAATTAAAGTTGTTTTAAGCTGACCTTTTTAATTTTAGTATTATGCGTACTTAAATATTATCTATGTGACGATTTGATAAAAACATTGGATTCATAACATTAATATAAAAATGCCTTTTATTCTGCATTTTTCCTCAATTTCTACCCAGGTATTGTCTCGTCTCAATTCATTATGATAATTTGGATTCTCAACATAACTCTTTGTAGCTCTGTATAATCATAATGAATGTTTCATCATCCTTGATCTCAGTAATTAAACTGAATTCACAGGTTGTACGATTCCTTTGCTATGCTTGAGATCTGAAACAA